CTACACTCTCTGCAGGGATTGCAGCTGCAGGGTTATACCCCAGGCATGTATGCCAGGCCTGAGCTATGCCTGGAGGGGGCAAGGTGGAGTAGGGGGGAGAGGAAGCTTTCCCTCACACTCACTGGGTCTGGGCTAGCACTGGGTCTGGGGGTTCCCGGAAGAAGGCAGAAATTCCTACTCGGTGGGGGAGGTGCTGCGGAGTGGTGGGGGACGTCTCAAGGCTGTGGGAGAGGGTCTGGTCCACGCTGCACCTGGGCTGGGACTGGTCCCGCTGGTGCAGTATAGCAGGAAGCTATCACACACACTCACCGGACCTGGGCTAGGACTGGGTCCAATCTCACTTCTAATTCTGTGATAGCTATATTTGTTCATGGTAACTATCTCCTTTTACAAAATTTTCTTTTTCTCTAATCTTGTGTATATGCCTTTCTCCTGTAACATGTTTCAGTTCAATATAAGTTCCCATTTAATGTTATATGCTCTTTATCAACCAGTAGATTTCTCCTTTTGGATGCTATTCAGTTACTGTATGCCTCATCTAACCATGTTATATAAATGTATCACTTAATGAAATTATTCTTTCAAATACTCCTTAGTCATTATAAATTCATATTTATAAACAAGGAATAGTGGCATACACCTGTAATGCCAGCACCTCAGGAGGTTGAAGCAAAAGTATTGTGAGTTTGAGGATGTTGTGGGCAGCTTAGCAAGACCCTGTCTCAAAATTTTAAAAAAAAGGAATCAAGGCTTGATGTGTACTTTGCTATTAAGCCATGGGTTCAATCCTGAGCACCCACCACCAAATTCACCTTTACACAAATGTTCATGATACATTATGAAATAACTTTGATGTTTTAAATGAAGGAAAAAGAATTTGTGTGAAGAACTTGTAAGAAATATGGATGATTATTTATCACATTTAATAATGACCAAAAGCTACATTGAACAGAAAAAAAATGATTTGGATGCAGCTATGAAAATAGCAAAAGAATTAAAATCAGCACCTGCTCTGAGGACATTTTGTGACCTTAACCAGGTAATTTTAATTACAATGTAATTTGGTTTAATTTACAATGTAAGTAGGTCTTGTTGTTTATTTTCCGTGTTTCACAATATGGGGTTTAGATTATGCTAACCTATACAGATGTTCCTTAGTTTACAATTGATTTACATTCCAATAAACTGTAAATTGAAAATGCATTTATGTACTAAACCTACTGGATATCATAACTTAACAAAGTATACTTGTAGAGTTGCAATCATTTGCTCTTTTGATGTGTTAGAGTATTTATTGTTGTGATCATAAGGTCTTCTGCCCCTTGTTCAGCATTGTGAGAGAGGGTCAGACTGCATATCACTATCCCAAGAAAAAGATCTAAATTCAAATTCATAACATTGTTTCCCCTGAATGCTTGTTGCTATCATACTGTTGTAAAGTTAAAATGTCATAAATTGAACCACCATAAGTCAAGGATCATCTGTATTGGTATCAATTTAGGATTCTTAGGTAGTTTGAATTCTAAGACAAACAATATTAAATTTCTTTAGTATTTTTTTATCATTTAGGAAAATACTGCAGTAAAGTCTATAAAACATCTGAGAACAAATCTGGGCATGGTGGTGCACGCCTTTGATCCCAGCATTAGGGAGGCAGAAATCAGAAGGATCACTACAAGCTCAAGCTGCATAGTGAGACCCTGCATACACACATACACACACAACCTTTATAAAAAAAAAAGACATATGACAATAAGATGACATTGAAGTGAAAACTAAGATTCGTGTTTGTGAGTTTTTTTCATCAGTGCTATAAATACCTGAAATAATCAAGAGGAAAGATTTACTTTGCTCACAGTTTCAAAGCTATTAGTCCATAATTGCTTGGCTCCATTGTTTTTGACCTGTGGAGCCACATCATGTGGGAGCTCAAAACCACTTGCATGATTGCCAGGAATAAAAGAGAACGGAAGGGGGTGAGGTCCACTGTCCCCTTTGAGGACATGCCCTCCTTTCCTACCAGCACCTACCTCTTAGTTTCCACTATCTCCCAGTACTTCTTTAATGGAGGCCAAACCTTTACACAGATCTTTGGTGGATACATGGATTCAAACTAGAGCAAGAGGGCTGGTGAGATGGCTCAGTGGCCTAAAGCACCTAATTAGAACAAGCTTAGCAAAGTACAGGGACCACGGTTCAATCCCCAGC